TAAACAGGCAGAGCTCAGGAGCTGAGTGGCCAGTGCCTGGAGGGAACTGGGTGGTGGATCCGGCTCACAGGGTCTGCTGATGGGTGTCTGGGGATTCTGGGCATGGCGGGCACTGGCAGGGCCCTGACCCATTTCGCCCAGACTGTGGAGAGGTGGGAGTTACTCATTAAGCCAGGCATGGAGAAGCTGGGTCAGGTGAACCAGGGTGAGCTGAGCTATCCTGAAATCAAGTGAGGTGCCCGTGAAGGGCCCCCAGCCACTGGATACCCGGGGCTGTGGATGGGTGAACCTGGGGACCTGGGTGACATCAACCCCAGGTCCTAAGGGCCAGGCAGCAGAAGCCTCAATCTCCCTGGCTGTAAAATGGAATTTGTAGCCTCATGCAGGTGTAGCTCTGTGGGTGGCAAAGGGGCTGGAGCTGGTCAGAGTGAAACTCAGGGAGCCCCCGAGGCTGACCGCACATACTACCCTGGTCAGTGTTGCCTCTGTTGACCCTCCCTAGAGCCCTGAAGGCTACAGGAGAGGAAACTGTCTCCGACAAGAAGGACTTGCCCAAAGTCCAGGGTCAGAGCCCACACCTTGGCTCAAACAGGACTGGAGTGTCAGCTCTGAGGGATGCATGGAGTCGAGTGTGTGGCCTCCTGGACGCCCTGGATGCCCTCTCCGCATCTCTAATGTGCACTGCATTCCACGGCGCCCAGTGATATTCTGCCCACAGCCTCGGCGTTAATCATTGAGCGAGCAATGTCTGCAGACCCCGCTCCCCTGTCGAGGGTCAGGAGGGGACCACACTGCTTGGCAGGTGTGTGACCCTGAGACCACGCTGCCCCAGGAACCCCAGCACGGATGGACGGCTCCCCGTCCTTGAGTCTGAATCCAAGGTCAACTTCAAGCGCTGGTGCCTGTGACAAAGTACTGACCCCTCAGGAACATCCCCAGAATTCCTGCCTGTCACCTTGGCAGATGTAGTGCTGGGTCTTGGTGAGTCCGGGTGAAAACAGGGACTTGGCCAGGACAGGAAGGGACCTTTGGGCAGGCCCATCACCTGGTCCTGAGGCCCTAGGTGTCCAGGGAGAAGAGGGGAAGAAGAGAGTCTGATGACCAATGGCCGAGGCCGCACAGGGAAGGGAAGGCCAGGCAGGAGACAGGAACTGGGGCAGCAACCCCCACTGCATGACCTGAGGTATGACCCTAGCAAGCGATCCCCACCATGTGATCACCAATTGGGTGACACCCCTGCCACCTGCCTGATGATTCTTACATGCCCCCTTCTTGCAGGGCACAGCCTCTGTCCTTCAGCGCCGGTCCCCCAGTGAGGAGTACGTGGAGGTGGGGCGCCTTGGGCCCTCTGACTACTTCGGTGAGTTGGGGTCCTTCCCTCATAGGCCACCACACCTCATCAGGGGTCCTGGGTTGGGAACTGCATGGGCACAGGCAAATCAGGCTGAGCCTCCGTACTGCTGTGACAGGCCTCAGACTGAGGTCCCTGGCCATGATTAACCAGTCCTGGGTAAGGACTGCCCCAGAGAGCCATGACCTTGTCAAGGGCAGGGCATGGGTAAGAGCTGCAGGGAACACCAGCTTCCAGCTTCCTGCAGCTCTGTGTTGGGGAGGTCCCAAGGGAGGCCCTACCTTACCTGGGCACTCCTAGGCACTCCCTCAGTTGGGGGCTGGATCATGGGGGAGACCCGGGACATATACCACAGTGCCTGCTGCATGTGGCATTGCTCAACAAATTGCAGGACAATGCCTAGCTAAATTTGGATTTCAGATGAACAATGAATATTTTGCTAGTTTATATAAATATATCCCACTGGGTGCAGTTGCCACACCTGTAATCCCAGAAACTAGGGAGGCTGAGACAGGAGGATCACAAGTTTGAGGCCAGCCTTAGCCACTTGGCAAGACCCTGTCTCAAAAAGTAAAAAAGTGCTGGGGATGTGGCTTAGTGATAGAGCACCCTATCCTCAACAGCCCAAAACAAAACAAAACAAAACAAAAGCCCCCCAAATGATACGTGTATGTCTCCCAAATATTTCATGAGACATATTTATAACTAACAAATTTTTTTGTACATATTGGAAATTCAAATCCCATGGCACCTGGCAGTGGTGCTTCTCTGGCTCTGGTCCTGAAGGAGAGGGTGTCGAGGCCCTGGCGTGGGGCTCTCAGCCTGACCACTCTCTCCTTCCTCTAGGGGAGATCGCGCTGCTGCTGAACCGGCCTCGTGCGGCCACCGTGGTGGCCCGGGGGCCCCTCAAGTGTGTCAAGCTGGACCGGCCCCGCTTTGAGCGCGTGTTGGGCCCTTGCTCCGAGATTCTCAAGAGAAACATCCAGCGTTACAACAGCTTCATCTCCCTCACCGTCTGAGCCGCGCCAGGCCGCAGCGCTCCCCGTGTGCCTGCAATCCCTGCTCCCTGTGTCTGGGGCCTGGGAGTCATGGGGAGGTAGCAGGATGAGGCTGGCATCCCTGCAGGGGACCTCCCCTTCCTCTGGACTCGTTTTTTTGGAATAAATGACCATCTTGTGCATATCAGATACAAAGGGCAAGCAAACATCCCAAGACCCAGGAGTGACAGGCCAGCTTCCCTCCCCCACACTTCCTCCTGTCCACCCCTTGTCTTAGGGGACCCACCTGACCCTCTTCACATCATCTGGGCTGTGCTTGTCTGATCCCCAGACCCAGGGGCAGACAGGCTGTGGAGACCAAGTCAGCCCTGAGTCCTGCCCCCAGAACCACAGGGTGCCACCCTGGGGCCCTGCAGACCCCGTGAGGCCAGGCTTGTCAGGCCTAGGCCCAAGTGTGAGACAGATCATATAGATGGGGTGTTCCCTGAGGACACTTATGATGGGGCAGAAGTTGAGGCCCATTCCCACAGGGGCCCAGAGGAAGCCAGGGACCCCTTCTCCTATCTTGGGGGCCAGTCCATGGGCCTCAGACAGACCCGTAGGTAACTCTGTGCTGAGAGCATTGGGAGGAGCCAGCTTGAGCCTGGTGGCTTGTCCTTGCCTCTTGGAAAGTCCATCTCCAGGTGGGCCAACCATACCCACCAGCCCTTGGGCAGCCGGTAGTCCGTGGCCCCTCACCAGCTGGTGCCCAGAATGGGCAGACTACACAGCTGAGTCTGGGAATGTCCCAGATCTGGTGAGCACTGTGCTGGGTCCTTTGCTCTTTGGAGTTAGGGGAGCCAAACAATGTGGGGCCACTTCTCTGGGAGATGTGGAGGGAGGGTGAGCTTTCAGAGGCATCTGGGTAGAGTTAGAGGAATCAGAGGCCCTCTGAGCTATTCCCCACAGATTTGCCTGTATCCAGCCTGAGTCCCAGCCCCGTGTCCCCTGTCCATTCCCCTGATGAGAGGGAATGTGTTCAGTCAACCCAGCGCGGGTCCCACACCCCTAAACCATCCACCAGCTTGTCTCTTAAACGTATCCCTGGTGCCGTGATGATACGGAGCTGAGGGAGCTCTCAGTCCGTTGAAATGATGTGACCCACTCGATGTTGCCCTGCAGTGTCCTGGGGAGGTGCCCTCCCCGCTGGCCACCAGCGCCCCCTGCGCCCTGGCCATGCCCATCCTGCCTGTGCTGTGGGCTCTGTGGACTTGTGTGCCCTCCTGCTCACCTTGCTGAGTGCTGCATGAACTATTAAACGTGCAATGAGGTACCTCTTCCTGACTCCGGGGGTCTCCATCTGGACTCTTTTGTAGACGAGTGTCTTTTTCTTTCTTTCTTTTATTGTGGTAACATATACATGACCCAATGTATTTGCCAAACCATAGCCTGGTGGCGTTGATTCCATTCACAGTGTTGGGCAGCCTCATCCTCGTGGCTGCCCAGAGGACCAGGTACAGATTCGTGAGTCACAAATTCCTTGGTTCTGTCTGGGCACGGTGGCGCATGCCTGTAATCCCAGCGGCTCGGGAGGCTGAGGCAGGAGGATCGCAGGTTCAAAGCCAGCCTTAGCAATGGTGAGATGCTAAGCAACTCAGTGAGACCCTGTCTCTAAATAAAATACAGAATAGCTCTGGGGAGGTGGCTCAGTGGTCGAGTGCCCTTGAGTTCAATCCCTAGTACCTGCCCCCGAAAAACCCCCTAAAACACAAATTCCTTGGTTCCTGTCCTCCTTGACCCTTTTCTCAGGTCTGAGCCCCTCACACGCTGCCAAAAGTTGGGAGGTGGCCCAGCTCCCCAGAAAGCAGGGACTCAGTGATGTATTCTGAGGGTTCAGATACACTTACTGCTGGCCACTTGAAGCTCAGTACCTTGTTAAGGTCGTCCAGCCTGTGTTGGCTTTGCCCTTTGTGGGTCTTTCACATGGTGCTCTGTAGCCTCACATTTCCCATCTGTAAATGGGTATAAGGATCCATCAAAGCCCTATGGTGAAATGAGCTCATTTCTGGCAAGAAGAGGCTGGGTAGGACCCACCTGCATCTTTTGTGGGGGATAATGACCTGGAATGGGGCCCCTCCAGACTGTGGAGAGCCCCAGCCTCACCTTCCCCAGCTCAGGGGAACCCAATGGAGCCTGGTGACTCACTATGACGTCGGGCCCTGGCTGCCACACTGGGGAGACAGGCAGCACCTCCGTGTGGGGCCTGGGGTGGGGAGTGAGTTTGTGTCTGGGGACCTGAGTCCTGCCTTCCCACGGCCACTGCATCCGGCCTCCAGGGCTCTGCTCTCTGATCCAGACAGGGTCTCTAGGGCCTGCTCTCTCCTAGTGCTGCCAGGAAGCCTGGGCTGACGCCCCTGACTGTGCTGACCTCTCTCATCCCCCTCTTGCCCCCTGGGATATGACCAAATTAGGAAGCTGCCCAGCCCCACCTCCAATTCACCAAAGGATTTCCCTCCTTCCAGATTAGTCTAGTCTGCTTCTAACTTGCATCCCAAGGGCAGGGATACTTAGACTCTCCATCTGGGCCCTGAGACCTGAGGCCCGTGGCATTCTTTGGGGCCACCAAAGTCCTCAGAAACTTTCCTTAACAAAGTCAGATCTTGCATATAGAGTGGGTTTCCAAAGCCACATTGAAGACTTTTATTTGGTCGGGCAGAAGGTCACTGGATTGGTCTCCTCCTAGGACCCCCCCAACATTGGCCGCAGTAGGAGGTCTGCTCTAGGGCAGGCCTCTGAGTGTCAGACTTCCCTCCAGGACAGAGCCCAGCATCATCCCACTAGAGACTTCCCTGTGGTTTGGACAATCAGTCCCCTCACCAACCTCCTTGGCCAAACATTTGTTGGAGAAATGAGGCTGGGGTATTTCAGGAACATGCTTGGCCAGGAGCCTAATGATTGCTGACCTCCCTGCAGCTGACGTGTGATGTGTGCGCTGGAGGGCAGTTGTGCCTCGAATTTTGATCAAGTTCTTGTTAGTTGTGTGGCATCAGACAGTATCCTTATCTTTTCTGAGCTTCAACTGTCTCATCTCTGAAGTGGGACTATTTGCCTCCTGGGTTAGACTTTAGCTTGAAATGAGACGGTACAGGAAGTTGCAGATGAACCCCAAAGGCTCAGAACTATTGCTACATGCAATATCCAACTACATCACACAGAAGGACAACAGCCATGTCCTGGTGTCACCTGGACAGGTAAGCTATGGAGCTCGTGCATCCTGGTGCTGCGGCTCCAAGAGGGCCACCCTCACCTGCCTGTCACTGCCACGCCACAGGCCTGGTTGCTGCCCTCTGGCTCCACCTCCAAACCAGCTGTTGCCCTGTTATCCACGGCCAGCCTCCTCCTCTGCATTCAGCCACAGGCCCCCCGATTCTGGTCCCAGTGAGGGACACCTGTTGCTGCTCAGGGACCTGTTTGCAGAGGTGGTAATCTCCCAGCAGGAGCCACCTGTCCTCAGTGTGGCTGCAATCGCCAAGTGTGTCACCTGGTAACTTCATGATCTTAAAAACACCACTGAATTATTTAATGGATTCTGCAGCTTCAAGACAGGGCGTGTCTGTTCCACAAAGCCGGGGGACACCTGGAGTTGGGGTGCCACAACCTCACTGGTCAGGCTCCCATGTGCTAAGTTTCCCTGGAGAGGTTGGTCCCAGCCAAGCCAGTGGAGGCTGGGAGCCCTCTCAGCCCAGTCTCAGTTGCGCAGTGTTGACCGGGCAGCCTCCCAGGCTGCAGATATCTTTATAGCGAGCAAGCATGGGAGGCAGGATACTGGGGTCCTGGTCCTGAGGCCTCCTTCCCCTTGCTCAGGGGAGCACCAGGAAAGGGCTGCCCAGTTCCTGCCGCTTCCCCCAGCAGGGGCCACGAGGCCCTTCAAGAGATATCAGAAGTCTGTGTCTGTGTCCCAGCAATGATGTCACCGGAGCCCATGTGATGCCAGTGTCAGCCAGGCGTTGAGTGTCCTAGGAAGGTACCCTGATATCACCCAGGAAGTGAGACTGCCACTGACTGCCCAGTCCACTCACCCACTCATTCACTCAATCACCCAGCCCAGGGGGAGGGGTTCCAGGGTGGCCCCCTGTCCTTTCCCCACATCTTCTCCAGATCAGCAGTGGCTTCACCTGCAGAATCCATGCCGGCTTGTGTCAAGGCCCTGTGGCACCAAATCCACCCAGCAGCCCTGTGGGGACCAATTACAAATAAGAATTCTGAGGTCAGAGTAGGGAAGTTACCTGCCAGGCCACCCAGCAGAGAAGCCTCGGGAAGTCGGGCCTGGGCCTTCCCCGCCAGCCTGGGCCTGCCCTCGCCAGCTCTGCCAGTCCTCGTGCTGTAAATTCTGTTTATGGTCCTGGTCACCACCCCACTGAACTGGCCAGGTTCCTCCTCAGAGGGAAGCCACGCCTCTCTGGGAGTCCCCTGGGAATACCCAAGGGAGGAGGAAACCCTGTGTGGGAGGCACTGCCACGGGACTGTGCCACGTCCTGGCTGTGTGGGCTGGGCAGGGGCTCGGCTTCCCTCCACCCTGCCTGTGAAGTCCTGTCCTCTTGGCCGCTGGCTGCACCTCTTCCTCTGGGTTGTGGGGAGTGTTAGAAATGGACAAGGGACTTCCTTGGGGCACCTCCATGGAGAGCTGGTGCAGTCCTCGGAGCTCACCAGGCCCTTCCTTGTGGGGAGGGGCGGGCAGGTCTGAGAAGCAGATGGGCAGCAGCCTCTGCCCATTACGGCAGGCAGCAAGATCATAGTGCTGAAGTGCCTGGGGCTGGGGAAGCCTGACCAGGGCCGTCCAGGGGGTAAAAAGGAGGCCAAGATTGTGCTTGAGGGTCCCAAGGTCAGGTGTGTGGGGGTCCTCTCCACCCCAGCTGGGAGCTCTTCCACCTGCGGAGGCCTCTGCCCTGAGCCAGGTGATGGTGAGCAGGGGCTGACCTCACCTGAAGTCCTGGGACCTCTCCTGAGACTGGGAAGGGCCGGCTGCAGAGGGAGGGGGCGGTCCTCCCTCGGACTCTGGCCTGCTGAGCTGCCAAGGGCCACTCCCAGCCGTCCAACTCTCAGAGGAGGCCACAGCCAAGGAAAGAGAGACTTGGGTGCCTGGCCCAGCAGGAGGGGCTGGGGAGCCCCGACTCACCTGTGAAGGAACCCACCCAGAGGCAGGGATAGCAGTGGGGGTGGGGGGAGCTTCCAGTGCCAGAGATGGAGCGGCAGTGCAAGTTGCCCCCTCCTCCAGGGAGGTCACCAGAAAGCAGGAGGCTGTCGACAAGAGAGTCCTGGATGGTGTTGGTGCTCGCCTATAACCCCAGCTACTCGGGAAGCTGAGGCAGGAGGATTGCAAGTTCAAGACCAGCTTAGACAACTTAGAGAGACCCTGTTCCAATAGAACAAGGGCTGGAGGGGCAGCTCAGTGGTAGAGAGCTTTCCTCACCTGCACAGGCCCTGGGTTCTAGCCCCAGCACTGGGGGCCGGGGCTGGGGAGAGAACTTGAAGCTAGAGTGGGTCTTGGTCAGCCACTGATGGCCTTCAGACCCTGCCCCTGAGCCAGCCGGGCCTCTCCCCGGATGTCTGCTGTAATGGCTGCCTTCCCTGGACCCGGTGGTGGTGAGAGGGAATCTGAGGGTTTGGGGGTGAGAGTTTCCAGGAAACCCTCCTCCCCCGTCCCCAAAGCCCTCCTTCTCCTACCCGTGGGATGACAGGAGGTCCCAGGGCTCAGATTCTTGGGTCTGGCCAGGCTGGGTCAGGAAATGATGGGCATAGAGGGGGGGGGGAGGGGAGGAGGGGGAGGGCAGAGGAATTGAAAGTGCATTCCAGACTGGTGACGTGTGCCCCGTGGCCTGCAGGGCAGGGGAGGGGACGTAGCTGAGCTGCCCTGTCGGGAAGGTCCCTGGGATGAGGTGGGTGGGGCTGCATCAGAAGGGAAGAAAAGATCCTTGCCCTGGGGACATCCCTGCCACTGGCTGCTGTCCTTCAGGGCTGAGTGCTGCCTACCCCTGGAAGCCTTCTCAGGTTTCTTGGCCCTGGGTCCAGGGCTCCCTCCAGGCCACCTGGTGTAGGCCTGGGACAGGCCCTCTCTGGAAGATTCATCCTGCTCAGAGCCCACTTGCTGTGTCCCCAAGTGCCCACGGCTGGCCTGGCTGGGTCGTCCACACTGGTGGCCTGGTCTGGAGGCTCCCGGGTGCATGGTGGGTTTCAGGGCTTCCTCTGGCTGGGGTAGGAGCCCCGAGAGGGGAGGGAGGGCTGGGGTCTGCTGTGTTCAACTCCACAAGCTGGTTGGGGCCGACACCTGCTAGGCGCTGTTCTAAGTGATTTCTGCCAATCGATCAATGGCTCACTCCTGGGCCCTGAGGCCCAAGGGTGCCCTTAGACCAGGCTCTTAGAGGCAAGAGCTTTGCTGAAGGCCACGAGACTGGTCAAGGAGGCTGGCACTCTGGCCCTGCAGGTGGACACGGCTGGAGGCATGGAGCTGTGCTTCCTTTTCAGACCTGAGGTTATGGCAAGGCTGGGTGGGGGGGATCCCCAGAGGCTGCGTAGGTGGCCTTGAGGGGAACCCTTTGGAAAAGCGGCCAGCGAGGATTACCCTCCTGGGGCTTCATCACCCACAGGGGTTGTCCTCTCTGCCCCTTGATTCCCCTGCTTCAGGAAGGCACAGTGGGGCCCTTCCTGGAGGCCCTGATGTTTTATAGGAGAGATGAGGTGCCCAGCGGCCAGCCCTGGGCAGGCAGAAGCTCCCAGGACCCAGGGCAACCCAAAGTCAGCATGAGCCTTCGATGCTCCTTCCAGGTGTTTGGAACCTGGTGTGGCCACAGCAGGGCTGGCCCCAGTGACTGTGGGCCGGGTGAGTGCCGAGGAAGGTTCTGGCACCTGGGTCTTGTTCTCTGGAGCCAGCGCAGGTAGCCAGAGCACAGGCCTCCTGTCTACAGTCCCTAAGGTGCTGTTCTGGAAGCTGCTACTCTGGCTTCAGGCAAGTACAGCCTCTGGGTCAGCTAAGGCCCTCCAAATCCCCAGCTCAGGAACTGTGAGCGAAGATGCTTTCCTTGTTGCTTGGAGGCTCCGCATCTTGGGGTAATTTGTTACGCAGCACAGTGACCTCCAAAAGCGAGTGTCATCATTTCTGAGCAACTGAGGGTTGGCGAGGTCCTGTGACAAACCCAAGACCCAGGCTAGAAAGGGACAGCCTGGGTGGGTGAGGGCCAGGCTGCCCTGCTGTGGCACTGCCCTTGTCCATGGGATCCTGGGGTCTTTGCCGGATGCCCGAGGTTCTCAGCTGGCCTGGTTTCATGGAGGCCTTGGTGCCTTGAGTAGTCCACACAGTCAGATGACTATGTATGGCATTAAAAGTGACAGGTCGGTGGCAGGCCTGACTCCAGGGGTTCTCAGAGGCAGAGCAGGTGCTTGTAGGCCAGGCCAGACTTACCTGAGGCTCGCTAAGGGGACAGTTCTTTCCTGCGCTGTCTTGACCACATCAACCTGGCTAGGCAGAGCCCCGATGGGGAAGGGCAGAATGACCAGTGGCCTGTACCTGCCAGGAAGGGGCTGAAGTAGGGCAGGGCCCTGGACTTGGCAGGGAGGGCACCCTCAGGTGGGGAAATGGACAGTCCAGCAGGCAGATCCACCCAGACTTGGCCAAGCTCCCGGTAGGTCCTGCTGGAGATGTGACCTGGTAGAGTCACAACTCAAAATCAAGGCTCACTCTATGACCATGGGACGGACATCCATCACCTTGAGCAAGGGTGGCGGTGCCAGGGTGCTGGGGTGCCATCTCACCAGGTGGGGCATCTCCAAGGTTGGGTCAGCAAGTCTCCCCGAGCTTGATGACATGGGAGAGGGACATGCATGGTGGTGGCACTGCTGTCTCCAGTCTGAGCAGCTGGGAACGATGGTGTCCCTCTCACCTGAGAGAGAGGACTGTGGAGCAGGAGGGGCCCAGCTGGGCCCCGTCCAGGCCAACATGTCTGCTGGACACCTGGAGGAGGTGTTGGGACATGGACTGGGGATGAGGACCAGAATTCTTGGGCTGTAGGTGGCTCAGCCCAGGAGTCCAGGGAGCAACCAGAGGGACTCAGGAAAGAGGGAAGGGGGGATACGGGATGCTGAGAGCGTGTCGGGTGGTGGTCTGACGCTACTACAGGACGGGATGGAGGGGCCCGAGAGCTGGGGTAGGTTGGCTGGTCAGCAAGCCTGAGGACCTGTCACGATGGCAGTGTGGTAGATGGCACGGAGCTTCAGGAGTGGCACCCAGCCTTCCCAGGGAAGGGGAGTGTTCTGAGAAAGAGCTACTTCCGCCCCACAAGGAGGCAGACGCAGGACCTTTTGGCTCATCCTTTCAAGCTCCTGGTGGCAGCCATTTTGTCACTACGAGGAAATCAGAAGAACTCGGAGAAAGAGAAGCGCCCTCCTGAAGCGGGTCTCTGAGCTCCCAGGGATGGACCTTTGTAGTTTGAGTGTTTTCTATTCCCTGAAGCTGATGGCATCCTGTTGAGACAGGTGGACTATTAAACATGGATAAGGGCTGGGGATAGAGCTCAGTGGGCGGGGTGCTTGTCTCACACGCACAAGGTCCTGGGTTTAATCCCCAGCACCGCAAAAATAAATAAATAAAAATAAACAAGGATAAGCCTCTGGTCCTGTTTTTGACCTCCACCCACCTGCACTGCCCCGGGGCAACTGTAGGGGGCAGGGACTGTGCTGTTTACTGCTATGTCCCTGACACCAAGGTGGCCCACACGTAGGACACTAGAGGTGCAAATAAACCCTTGGTGAGTGGATGCATCTCAGGTCATTGTAAAGGCTGGGATGTAGAGAGAGGAGACGCAGGTTTGTGCACCTCCAATCACATGCAGCCCTCTCTGCACTCCGGGCCACACGCCAGGCTTAGCTGTGAGCACGTGATCGGCATCACCTCAAGCAACACTAATTAGCAGTTACTTCTGCTTTCTCATCCCCTTATCAGATCTGAGGCCATGGAGGCTCAGAGAGGGAAACAACTGGTAGAAGATGCACAGCCTGTGAACTTCCCACCCCCCCTTATCCGAGCCCATCCTTGCCCTCAAGGCCAATGCCCTGTGGTACCAGCCGACAGCATGTAGTAGGTGCTCAGGGGAGCCTGCTGCTGGTGTTTCCACACCGGAGGCTCTGCATGGCTCTGCGGCACTGCCCCATCAGACAGAGGCAGCCTCTGCAGGGAGGCTGTGCACCTCCCTGCACCCCGAGCAAGCGGCAGGGAGGCTGAGGTGACCTGAAGGACTCTGCCTCTGCCCTCAGGGACTACGTGTAGGTAAAGTGGCTTCCTGCACTGGGACCGGGCAGGGTGCAGAGCCCCTGTTCACAGGGCAGGGGACAAGTCTCCAAGAAGGAAGGACCTCCCAGGGTCATGTGGAGCAGAGGTCTGAGCTCCCCCTCCCCCAGCCTCACAGAGGGCTCCCCTGGTAGAACAGAAAAGGACCGGAAGGGGCAAAGAAACCCCTCAGCAGGAATGAAGCCCGGAAGGGACATGGTGCTTTGTTACCTGGAGGGTTTTGTTTTTCCTGGAACCAAGCAGGCCTGGGCATTGGGTCCAAGTCTGGCCAAGGGAGTGTGTAACTCCCTTCCCAGACATAGTGGGGCTCAGGGTGTCACATGCCTAGTGAGGTGTGTGCTGCCCTAAGCTTGGCCACTTTGAAGAAGGAGGCAGAGGAGGCAGGAGACTGGTTCTTCAGCCATGGGCTGAGCACCCTGATCCATCCATACCTGATACTGCCACTCCTGAGCCCAACGTTACACAAACCACTATACTCTCCTGCTCGCTTGGTCCAGGCCTAGTCAAGTTCTAGAGTCCTGAGGTCTAAAGTGTACACCAAGTGGGCTGGGCTGGCCTGTGGCTTTCTCTCTTCCTGTCATAGTGGTGAAGGGACAGACAGGGAGCAAGTTCTCTCTGTTCTCCTCTCTTGTTCATTATCTCCCCTCCCCATTTCTTTGATGGAAATGAGGCTTTGATGGAAAGACTCTGGCAGGCTTCTCCTGCACCTGCATGGCTTCATGGCTGTCCCTCAGCCCCAGCCTCTCCAGGGCACTCCAGGTTACTCTGCCCACCATGGGCAGAGACTCCATCCAATTTGTGCTTCTGTTGAAATGAGCTGTTGGGCTCCAGACTCCTCCGGAGACCTTCCAATTGCTGGGGCTGTGTCTCTGGAGGTTGGATGGACGAGCTTGGCTTCTCTGCCGAGGTTGTGGTGGCCATCCCGGAAATGCCCCAGCCGGTCTTCAAGCTCAGGCCTAGCTTGACTCCCTTACCCTTCCTGGGCACCTGTGTCTTTTGCCTGTGGACAAATCCCATCGAAACCTAATGGAATCCAGTCGTGGTGATGCACACCTGCAATCCCAGTGACTCTGGAGACTGAGGCAGGAGGATTGCAAGTTGAAGGCCAGCCTCAGCAACTTAATGAGACCCTGTCTCAAAATACAAGTTTAAACAGGCTGGGAATGTGGCTTGGTGGTAGAACATCCCTGGCTTCAGATCCTCAGTACAAAAAAGAAACTAAACTAACCCCCCCCCCCAAACCTGAAGGTACAGGGTGACCACAAGCTCCTCCCACCATGTCCATGGTCAAGGACAGAGGCCCAAGGGAAGGAGGCCCTAAGTTAGTTGGCTCTGGATTCAAACCAAGTGACTCACTGCCAACTGGATGGTGGAGGATCATACCTCCCACATTCCTGGACTCATCCCAATGGCTTTGTCCTCTCTAGAATAAAATCCAAACTCCTGATTCTGGTCTCTAGCCCCTGCCTACCTTCCTCAGCCTCACTCTGCCTACATACCCTATCTTACCCTTGCTAGTTCTGGAACATGCCAAAGAGGTCCCTGCCCCAGGACCTTTGCACTTGCTGTGATTGGTGTCTGCCTAGAATGCCTGGCTTAGATCTTCTTAGCTCTTTTCATGACTGGCTCCACCTCACATGGTCCTTTGCCGGCTACCTGAAATAGCACGCACCTACTTGCCTGCGTATTCCTTTGGAGAGACTGAGCTCTGGGAAGGCCCTGTAGTTTTGGTCTTCCACCTCCCACCCAACCCAGTACCATCACCTGTTAAAGGAGCAGGTGAATATTTCCCAAAGCAAATTTCTGAGCTGGCTATTACCCAGAGGAAGCTGAGCCTCTGAGAGGCTAAACCACTTGCTCAGGGTCACACAGTAGTGAGTTTGGGGAGGGGTGGCTCTGGGGAGAGTTGACTGGATGCTGGTCCCTACACCTGAGGTTGGGGCATTCTGTATCTCCCCCCCCCCCCCCGCCCCCCGCCCCCTGCACGTGCCTGCTCCACCATGCAGCTATGATTTCTGGGTGTTATTTTAAAGGTGTTAGTGGCTGCATTAAAGTGAAAGCAAACAGGCAAAATGAACTGGAATCATGTTGTTTATTTAACTTCGTATATCCAAAATATTATTTTCAAACTGTAATTAAAATAAAATTTCACATCTCGACCTTTGCATGGAGTCTCCTAAAGCCGGTGTGTGTTTTGCACTTTCAACAGAATTCTGGCCAGCTGCATTTAAATGCTCTGGGGCCACACCTGGCGGATGCTCCTGTCCTGGATGTGACCTAGACTCTGGACTCGCCCCCCCCCCCCCACTCAACCTACGAAATGTCTCCTAATAGAGGTCTTCATTCCCCAAATGATTGTGTGCTACAGTAAATTTCATTTCTGTTGGTGTATTTAAAAGAGAAAATAAAAATACTTACTAGGGAGTTAAGAAGGGCGCGGAGACACTGAGGTGCCTTCCCACTCTGGAGAGGCTTATCTCTGTCTCTCTGGGGAGCCTGAACTGGAAAGGCCTGATCCTTAGCCTCAGGGCTTAAGGTAATGACTTAATTAGCGCCTGCACCCGGCATGTTTGATCTTCAAGGAGTGAGCCCACGGTGGTTGAAGCTGCTTCTGGCTTAATTGCCAGAACCGAGAAACTTTGCCCAGAGATAAATGGGGACTTGGTGTCACACCACTGCCAGTTTTTCTGAGACCTTTGCTGACACAGGAGCATAGGCCTGGATTCTGCACTCCAATTCCCCCCCCCTCCACACACACACACAGTCAGGGCCCTGTGGCTTGTAGGTATGTGCTGGGGCCTCTATGGGACTGCAGGGAGCTGACCTACTGGGGACATCATGGTGTAGGGGGACAACTGTCCACCTCCCTTTTTTCCAGATGAGGAACCGAGCTGAGGACAGGCTAGGGACAATTCACACCAAGGAGGCAAGGTCAAGGGCAGAGCAGGATCTTGCCCCTTGGGACTGGGGCCCTAGTAGGTGTGAACTCCAGTCCTGCATTGCTGGTTGGCCACATCAACCTTCACTTCCTGCCTGTGAACCCTAAGTGATACCAGGTAATTCAGGTTGTGTATTCACGGAGGAGCCTAGGAACCGGGGGAGCCTCACTGCTTGCAAATGCCTCACTTTCTCACCTGCAAAATGGGAAGGGATGAAAGCCTGGGGGTTGCCACTTGGGTGTGCAATGAAATTATATGGCGAAAGGGCTTGGCACCAGCCTGGCACAGTCCAAGCCCTCAGTAATTGTTAGTCATCACTACTAATAAATGACAATAATGACGGCAATAATTGAATGTCTATTGGTGCCAAGCCTGGAAGGACAGTGGCCAAGCAGTGAGGATGGTGTGAGGCGGGCTTTAAGGTAAAATGAGACTACACCTGCACACAGCACTGGCCTCTGCCTGTTTCTTAATAAAGGTTGGTTTTCGTGCCCCCACCCCGTCAGGGAGCACAGGGAAGAGCCCGTCCAAGAACGATTCCTACCCGAGGAATGGCCAAGGCTCTGCCAGCCCTTCCTTGAGTGCCTTTGGTCTTGGATTGTGTTGGGAGGGAACACAGCAAGGGGCAGACGCCGGCCGGTCACCCTGGTTGCGCCCCCACTCGGCCTACTTGGAGCACCTGACACCTTAATTATGGGCCCACGGGCACGTCGGGGCGCGCCAGGGACGCCCGAGATAGGCCGGAAGCACCAACTCGGGGGCGACCGGACATCCCGGGCCACCAGGTGCACCTTCTCTTCTCACTCACACCTCCTCCCCGTCCTCCGGAGCTCCCCGCTGCGTCCGCTTCTACTTCTGCCCTAGACAGTAGCGCGAAGAGCCTCCTGCAAGCGTGCCTGCAGCCGGGGTCAAGTTGTCTTGGGGGCGGTGTGGAGACGCGTCTTGCTCAGGAGTCCCGCACTGCACCTCGGTTTGGCGCCTGTGTCTCCCGAGCCTGGGCGGGGATGCCCCGCAGAGCCTGCAGCGCCGCACCCACGCGCTTGGGCAGCGGCCGCCCACGCCTCCTCCAACTCTAAAGTATATTTAGCCTCATTATCAAATGTTTGCAGTGAACCGTGTGAACCGCCTAATAGCGGCTGGAAGTGAAACTCGATTCCCAGCCAGGAGAAAGCATGTGACCACTCCCACCAACAGTGCTGGCGGGACAGGTGCTGCGGCCCCCGCGCGCAAAACCCCGCCGGCCTGGCTGCGGTTGCACCGTCTCCTCTGGCGGCGGAGATCCGGAACCCACCTACCCACTCAGCTCCCTTCTCCAGGGCCTGAAAAGGGCACATTGGAGTTCCAATGAGCGGGAGTCAGGGGAGGAAGACTGGGCGGGGGGGAAGGAGCCCCCCCCACCCCCGGCCTGGTTCACGCCCAAGGCCACCATCTCTCGGTTACGTCCTGCGGTGCCTTCATCTCCAGGTTTCAGAAACCTGGGCGTCTAGGGTTCGGCTTTTTCCTATCTTCCGAGGATCTGGAGGAGGGGAATGGGGCGGGGAAGGGGGTCCTAGTCTCGCACCACGGTACCTTGGGAGTTCAGGGCGCTGTGCCTGCGTCCCCCAGGCCGCTGTAGCCTGGCCATACGAGTTCTAGCCACCGCGCGGCGGCCACTGTTGTTGTGGTCGCTATGACGACGGGTCGCAGTTTTATTTTTAATAGCGGCCAGCGATTAGAGAGAAGCCTGCGCCATGCGCCCCGCGGCTCCTGCGTCGGAGTGGTGCACCCTGGCCCCTATACACTCAGACTGCCGCCCAGGGCGCCCCCTTCCGCGTCCCCAGATAGCCCCCTGCTCCGCCCTTGTCTCCAGCTGGGTGTCCGTGAAGCGCAGGGCGGATAAGGGAGCACAGGGAAGCGCCCGTCCAAGAACGATTCCTGGGAACCAGCGGCCTCCGTGAGGGGGTTGGGGTCCGGAGGGTGCGGCACCCCATCCGAAATGCAACGCGACCTTCCTCCTGGATTCCCACACCCACTGTCACATCGGGTCCTCGAACCCCCACGAGGTGTCCTGGGGTCCCCTCTGCTCTCGAGGAGCCCGGGGCTCAGCGAGACATGATGAGCACAGCTCTCAGGATAAGAAGGTGAGGGCTCCACCTGGGTCCAGGCAGTGCGCTTTCGGTCGCCTTCCAGAAACCATCCAGTGGGTTGCCTCTCCAAAGTCGCAGAAGGTTCCATCTGGATGGATCAGGCCTGGTTTTCAGGTGCTTCTCAACGTGTCCAAGTTTTCTCTTGTTCTGCCTTTCTGACCACCCGGCGGGGTCGCGGCGAGGGTGGAGGGCTGCGGGATGGTGGAGACCCGAGAGAGCGCTATTTAGACGCCGCAGAAGTGCCGGGAGAGCCCCCGCCCTTCAGGTATTTGGGGGAAAGCGAGCGTCACCAAAGCCCCTCTCGACTCAGACTCCGAAATGCGGGAGCCGCACTCGGGGCTGCGCGCCTTTCCTGCGGGTCCAGAGGGAGGACTACGCGCAGGAGGTACGGTTTATCTACAGGAAGGGGGTGATGGCTGGGGCCGGCAGAATTCTCCTCGGCTGCCCCTCACCCACCGGGCGTCTCCTACTCTCCAGCTTAAGTCGTCTACTTTTGGGGTCCCCAAGAGTAGCCACCCCCAAACCCGGTACCTGGGAAGTACGCCCCCTCGAGGGAGGGACACTGGCAGGCATCTGGTGCTACCGTTCGGGTCCAACCCCACTTGGTCTAGACTGGCGATATCCACCGCGCCTGGGCACACCCGCTTTTTGGCCCCGGGGGAGCGGCTCAGCCCTGCTCAGACCTAGTCTGCGCGCGTCGCTCCCCCGCGTTGCGCCCTGTGCTGAGCCGTGGCCGGAGGTGGCGCTCTGTGAGCCCCGCGGCTCCCGACGCAGAACCCAGGAGCTCCTCAGGAGCGTCTCCTTTCTCTTCTTTCCACCTCTCCGTTCCCAGCTCAGGGTGCAGCCCAGCCTTCCGCGAGGGAGTGGGGACTCGGGGGGTGCAGGGTTCACAAGAGAGAGATGAGGCAGGCTGCAGTCCCCTCCCTGACCAGGGTTCGTTCCCACCTCGAAATGTGGGTGGAGGTTCCTTTTTCAGGTGCCCAGGCTTCGGATCCTGGGCGGGGGCGCGTGGCAGCCGCCAGGTGAGTGCCCCAGACGCGCCCTTAAGCCAGCCCCACCTCTCCCTAGAGACTCACTCCCCCTCCTTTTATGGAGAGGGGGAAGGCAGGGGCCCTGGATCCAGACGGTGGAAAGCGGCCGAGCGCCCGGGCGGGGGCCGGGCCGGCTCTCGTGCCCTTTTTGGCGCAGCAGCTCTGGGCGCTGCCCTCTGCTGCTGCTGGGGCCCGGGAGAGGCGAGCCGGCGGCGGCAGCGCTTCTGCGGCGGCCTCCTCCCCTCCCCGCCCGGTGCCGCAGGATTGCAGCTGGCACTGGAGGGTGGGCAAGCTCGAGGGAGGGGCGCGCGGGGAACCCTGCCGCCTGTGCTCGGAGCCGGGCGCCGGGCTTTGATGGATTTGGCTGCCTGCGTGAACGCGAGTGTGCTCACTGCAGTGGCGGTGGCGGCCTGGCCCTGCCGGGTCCGCAAGACCCCCCGCACGCTTCCGAGGTGCGGGTCTGGGGCCCGGAATCCGCGGGAGGCGGGGGGCGGGGGCGGGGGAGGGGCGCGGCGGCGGCGCTATAACCCCCTCCCCGCCGGCGGCCGGCTCCACACGCGCGCCCTGCAGAGCCCGCAGAACTCCGGCGAGCCGGACCTGCCTGCGCCGCCCTCCTCCTCCTCCTCTCCCTGCGGCTGCTGCTGCTGCGGCGGCGGCGGCGGCGGCGCCGGCTCGGCCCTGCGCCCGCCCTCAGGCCCGCGCGGGCGGCGCAGCGAGGCCCCGGGCGGTCGGCGGCTGCCAGGCGGCGCGGCCGCGGGCGCTGCCCGTTCTCGGCCGGCGGAGGGCGGAGCGCAGCGCCGTAGCCGAGGGCGCGCCGCGGCGGGGCGCACGCAGGCCTCCGGGCCGCGCCGTACTGGGCCGCGCTGTGCCCGGCCGGGCGGCGGCGGCAAGAGGAGGCCAGAGGCGAGCGCGGGCCGGCGGTAGGCACGCAGAGCTTCCTGCAGCCCGCAGGGAGAGCGCTAGCCGGCAGCTGGGGCCCGGCCGGGCGTCCAGACAGGTGATCGGTGGTGCGGCAGCGGCCCCAGCTTCGCTCCGGGGTCCCTCTCGGGGTCGATGCCCGCAAATATGCGGAATTACCGGCCGGGTTGCTCCTAAAGCCAGCGCCGGGGAGCGAGCGCGGCGGCGGCCAGCACCGGGAACGCACCAAGGAAGAAGCCCAGCCCCCGCCCTCCGCCCCTTCCGTCCCCACCCCCTACTCGGCGGCCCAGGAGGTTCCCGGCGCTGCAAGCGCGCTCTCCCTGTTCCTCCTCCTCCTTGCTGGCGCCGCACTCACTGCTCGCGCCGAGCGCGCTCCGCCTGCTCCTTGCTCTCCGCGCCACCCTCCTCCGGGCCGCGTTCCCTGAGGGATGGTACTGAATTTCGCCGCCACAGGAGCCCGGCTGGAGCGCCCGCCCTGCGGCCTCGCCTCCCCGCCGAGCCGCCAGCGCCTCGGGACGCGATGAGGACCTGGGCTTGCCTGCTGCTCCTCGGCTGCGGATACCTCGCCCATGCCCTGGCCGAGGTGGGTGCCACCCCCGCGCCCTGTCCCCTCTTTCGTTCCCCCGGCGCACGCCCCCCGCGGGCCCGGGCGCCCCAGACTCTGCAGAAAGCATTTTGATTTCTACTAGACTGGTCAATTTTAAAATTTTCTCAGCTGGGTTCTATTTTCTGCCATGCCCAAGTGTGTCTAGTGAGTCTACAGCGTGTTGCGTCGCTCTGCCTCGAAGGGACGGCGGAGCTACGAGGTGCAGAGTGGGGAGAAAGTTCCGGGGGCGCGGGCGCGTCTTCGGGGAGGGGTAGCTGGGTCGTGGCGGGCAATGCAATAACGGGGTGCGGGCAGCAAAGAAGGGGGTGTGTGTGAGCTGGTGGAGCCCAGGGAGAGAAGCTGGGCGGCTAGTAAACAGGTAGAGGCAGCTGCGGCGGAAGCCCCAAGCTGGGCAGGGTGGGCATCGCCGAGTCGCAGCCCCGGGTTTGATTCCCAAGCCCGGCGGGGCGCAGGGCCCGTGCAGTCCGGCCCGCCTGGGGCCCTGCTTACAGGTGGCTGAGCGAAGCAGCTGGGGCCGGGCCAGGCGCCCGCGCCCTCCCACCGCTGGCGTCCCCCCACCCCCCGCCCCTGAGTCCCCAGGAGCTTTGCCGTGATGAATGACTTTCCACAGCCTCTGTCGTGGGAACTTAGTGCTTGAGCCCCCCAGCGACCCCCGACTCCCTTTAAACACCGGGAGGGAGAGTGGGGGAGGCTCAGTGGTGGGGGTGGGCTGGGAAGGGACCCGAGAGCCAGAGGTGGATATTTAACCCTCGCTTTCCCTGCAGCCTCTCCCGCCGCCGCTGGATTTGGGCGTCCTAGTCGGCGCTAGGGCCGCGGCTGGGCCGGAGTCGGGTGGGGCGAGCGCGCGCGCGCGTGCGTGTGTGGTGAGGGGAGACCCTCTTCTCCAAGAGCTCGGCCCGGGATTCCAGGGCGTGAAATTTAAGCCCCTGGCTAGATTAAAGTGTTAGAGCTGCCGCGACTTTCGTCGTCGATCCGTGACGCATTTCGACTCTCTTTATCTAGATGTGGATTTCACTATTAAACCAGAAACTCCGCGGCCCCCTCACCTCCCCCAGACCTGTAACTGACACCCCAGGCGAGGGCTGGAGTGTGGGGGCTTTTGTTCCAGCAGTAAAGGCGGTAGTGGGGTCTCTTTTTGAAAAGGGCAGACAGGGATGGGGGCGGAGAACTTGGGGACTCAGCCACTCCACCCTCGTCTCGGACTCCACCGCCCTGCCGGGGTCCGTGTGGGCTGCGGTGGTGCAGCCCCCTCGGGCCTGGCAGGAGGCCCTGGGCTGCTGGACGCGCGCCGCAGGCGCTGACCGTGTGGTCTGCTTGCAGGAAGCTGAGATCCCCCGCGAGCTGATCGAGCGGCTGGCCCGTAGTGAGATCCACAGCATCCGCGACCTCCAGCGACTCCTGGAGATAGACTCCGTAGGTAAATCGCGCCCCTGCCCTTGGCGCGGGGAGGGCGCGGGTGGCGGGCGGGGAGTCTGCGCGGAGCCGCCCCCCGCGCGGCCCGGGCCGGGCGCAGCTCAGGAGCGCACCGAAAGGTCAGAATCCATTCCCCTGCCATAAACGCCCAGGCGCATGAGTCAGGCGTTTCTCCTCCAGTCGCCACTTTCTCTCCCAGCGGCGGCCGAGGGCTGCTGGCTCACGGGGGGATTGTTTTCGCAGTTAAGGAAAACGCCGCGTGTCATGAGAAGTTCAGCCGCAGCAGCGGAGAGGGCGCCCGGCTCGGCCGCCAGGTGTGCGGGCTGCGGAGCGCGGGATTATTCGGGGTGGGCAAAGCCCTGGTCGGTCCGCCTGGCCCGCCGCCCACCTGGCTAAACCCTGAGGGGCGCGCAGCCGGTGGGGCCAGGGCCCTTTAGTAAGCACTGCGTGCGGGTGCTGCGCTTGCTTCGGGGCTGGGCCTCTGTGTGGCTGCCGGAGGCCCGTGTCTTTCTCTATTCACGACCCAATAAAAAGGCACGCCTAGGACACATGTGCTTGGGGCTATTTTGGGGACTCACTCTAGGAGTCTGGAGCTCAGCCACTTCAGAAAACAGTTTACTTGAAGAGTTTTGAAGCTCTGGTTGCGCTGTGGGCTAGATCCAAGGTTGCAGGAGTTAAAGGGGTCTCTGCAGTGGGGGCAGTGGTGGTGCTGGGGGCTGTGCTCTCGAGAACTACAGAGCCGGTGCTGGAGGACCAGGTTTCCTCTAGATCGTTTGTGGCGCCATTTTCAAAATTAACACTTTGGAACTCCATCCTGAGTTAACTAGGGAGGTACTCAAGTGGGAAAATGTACTGACTGGCTTTTTTAAAAGGCCTGAGATGAACTTGTCAAGAAGAGGAATGAAAGGCAGCCAAAGTGAAGAATTTTAAGTGAAATGAAGATTTTTCTCTCACTGCAACTACTCTGGAAAGGGGGGTGGTGGGGGAATTAAGTAGAATCACATGGTCTAGTCATTTGGAAATTTGTACCTAATTATGATGGTGGAGAGGCCCAAACTGTTTTCATTCCATGCCAAAACCATTTTCTAACAAGGCGGCTGGTTTCTGTAGTTTCTTGACCCAGGAAATCCTTCTCCTGATCCTTATCAGGAGTGGGGTAGGATTTCACTTGGAGATCAGAGTTGGGCCAGGGGATTTTGACCCAGTCCCTTGATGTGCAAGCCTGGGGGCGAAGGGTTTGGTTTGGGAAACTGGGGAAACACTCGCTTGGCATTTCACTGGTCCCTGGTGGATTTGGAGACTGCCTTTCTTTGAGGGTTCCAGGGCTTTGCTTTCCTGGCTTGTGGGGGTGAGACCTTGTTGGGCTGGACCTCCTGTAGGTTAGTCTTTTGGGATGCGGCATGGAAATGGGCCATTCACTTTCTGCTGGGACCATTCTTATTCTGGTCTCTGGAGCCCCGCCTTCCCCACCCCACCCCCACCCATTAACGCTTTTAGCATTGCAGCTCTGTGGGGTTTGCCCATGGAATTCCTGACCTGGGGGCTTCTGGGCTGGAGCCTTTTTTGGAGAATCCAAAGGGAAAAGCCAGAGTGCACTGATAGTCCTCAGGCTGTTTTCAAATTGCCCCTATAAAAATGTCCTGTGAGGGGAACTGCCTGTCCCTTCTGTCCTGGGGAATGCAGGGATGGGTCCTAGTGCTCCTGTCCACCTGTCAGACATTTGGGTCTGCATAGGATTCTCTGAGTGCCTGGGGAACTCTCTGGAGCCCATCTTGCTCCTTATTCTTGGCCTGGGGTGAGGACCCTTTGTGACAAAAATCCCAAAGTATCTCTCTCCTCTCCCTGGTTCACCTCCCCTCCCCCAGGTGTGGAAGCAGAAGAGTCCCTGAGCAGAGGACAGGAATGGCCTGTTGGCTCCTGAACTTGTGTTGGGTTCTCCCTGCCCCCACCCCTCCACCTTCCTGACTGAGGGGATTTGTAGACCGCCCTGGTGGCCACGTTTCTGGGCCCTGGCCTCCCCCTTAAGTCTACTCAGAGGTACATCTGGCCTGTTGGGGGTACCCTGGTCTGGCAAGAGCCATTTAGAAGCCTGGGGTGAATGAGGAAAGGTCAACGGCTGGGAGAAGCTCAGTTTGACTAACCCACTGTGGGGCTCCCCGGAGGGTAGTCCTTAGGAGGACTCTTGCTGATAGGTTTCTCCAGGGCAAGTCTATAGTATAGGGAGAGAGTAAGAGGCTTTGGGTGTCTCAGGTTCCACCTTGAGTTTTTTGGGTGGAGCTTTGTGATAGACAGTCCTTTTTGTATTCTCCAAAAGAGGCTCCAGCCCAGAGGCCCCCAGATCAGGAATTCTAAGGGCAAACCCCACAGAGCTGCAATGCTAATCATATATCCAGTAAGCCAGCTGTTCCCCATTTTATAGATGAGAAAACTGTGTTCAACCTGATAGCTCCTCCCTGGTGTGTTCAGACCTCCAGAGGCTGTGGGGTTCCTGGCCCAGAATGTCACCGAGCTGGGAGTGTTCCATAGTGTACAGGATGGGGGGGGATTTGCATAGTGTACAGTATGGGGGGATTTGCCTGTGTCTTTCAGTGACCAGCAGTCATGGAGTTTGGGGACTGTGTGGCAAGATAGATGTTCTCCAGAGTGGTCTAGCTGGATGTCCAGTGGGTCATTGAGTAACTGATACACAAATATCCCTATCCTGGCCATTAAGACCTGACTGGGGCAGAGCATGAGGAGTCTTCTGTCTTGTGAATTGCCATGTGTCATCTTGTGGACACTTGCATCGAAGACCAAAGGGAAACTGCTTGGTGAACTGTCCTGAGAGTGGTTTCAGGGGATGATTCACGCAGCGCTATCAGGGGTCTCATTTAAATTACTGCCAGAGCATAAATCAGCCATCATACATCAGACTGGCTGTGTCCCCCAGAACAAGGGTCTGCTTTTGGCTTGTGACCACCCATCTTGATCCGGGAACAGAGGGCAGGCTTGTCTGAGTAAGAGCTGCTCGCAGTGTCTTGTCTCTAAGGAGATAAAGTGTCAGCGTTGCTGAGCTTTGAGGACCAAAATTCTCTCAGTGCATTAAATTGGGCCAAGGGGCCTGGGGTGGGAGTCTGAACCACTGGATACTGGTCCTGAGGGTCCTTTCATGAGCCATCTGTCCTTGTCTTGTTCCGTTTCTTTGGGCCTAGGTTTCCTTGGGCGTGAAAGGCTGATGGAGCCTTTACTTCATACCTGTAAAGGTTAAGACTCAGGGAAGCAATTGAGCCAGCCTGATGGTAGAAGGGGTCAGAAGGTGCCCTTGCTGAGTCTCCAGAAGCTGAGAGTGGACCTTGTTGGTTTGGCCATGGCAAGATGGGTACCACCAGGACATGACTCACAATGTCACTTTTCCATGAAAAAATGCTCCTTGTGACAATTGGTTGATGGGAAATTCTTATTGCATGAGTAGTTGTGTTCTGATCTTATTTTGGGTCTCCCCCCCCAAAAAAAAAAAATTCAGTGACATTGGAACATTCAGTCATTTTTGAAGTCAAAAGTTGGGCTCGGCCCGACCTTCATCTTGGACTTTCATACCTTATGCAAGGGTTTTAGTTCTCATTTTAATCATGCAGGTTCCGTATATCTCAGAGAAGTGGAGGAGGCCAGGGTTTCTGCAGATGGCTGTGGATGCTTGGGTGGGTTGGCAACCTTGGGCTGCACATCAGACACTGGGGTGGGCTCCTACCTGGGCTAGGAGATGGGAGGTCCTTTGAGCTGGAGAGGAGAGGAGGCTGCAGGATAGGATCCAGCAAATCTTGGAGAGTTCTGGCTATTGGGCACATGTCCTGGGACTTCCTGCTACATCTGGAGGGCCCAGGCTGGGGGGCCAGGTAGGACTGACGATAGCTAGGTATGGGTGGTGTTGGACTCGTCCGTCCATATAACAGGTAGTAGGGCTGTATCCTTCTTCAGTCCCAGAAATCGGAGAGCCTGAGACTCAGGGCTATATCTCTGTGGCCCTCCTCCCTCTGCACTGTGTGGGGCTGGGGTTCTTGGTGTGGTCTTAGTGCTGGGCTGTTGCTCTGTAACTGGAGCCATCTGGGTCCCCACTGCCTAGACATGGCTGCAGGCATGTGGGTGAGATCTACTTCCCTTTCTGCAGACCACCTCCCTTCTCTGCCTGGCACCCTGACTCCTGCCTCAGGCCTTCGGCCACTCCTTAGTTACACTCCACGAGCCTACGTGCTGCCCTCCTGCCGTTTTCTCATGGCCTCTGGCCCTCAGCGCAGACTTATTTCAGGAACAAGTAGGGGCTGGCTCACAGCCCAGTCTGGCCTTGCTTCTGATGCCCCTCCAAGGTTAGGACACTTCATCCAGCAGGAGCCTCAGTAGCCCCGACTTTCAGTGCATTACTGTGGCTGTGGTAGAGCCCAGGAGATGGACCCCGCTGGGTGGTACAGCCTCTTAGCTCTGGGATAGATGGCCTCAAGGACTTTCTGACCTGGTTGAACCCTCAGCTTGGCTTCACTGGAGAAGGTGCCATAGAGGAGACCCCCCTGGAACCCCTTCCTGAAAGGGTCTCAGCTTTGCCACGGGCCTAGCAGGGACCCTTGTGTTTCGGGGACCTCGGTGTTGATGGGACATTGTTGGTCTGGTTGTGTTTCATTCACTGCCCATCTGAAAAGCCCTGAGTGGAGGTAGAGGGCTCAGGGGACTCCACCTGTCTTGCTAGGAGAGGGTTGGGCTGAGCTTTCTGGCCCTTTGTCCCCAGGAGGCTCTGAGAGCTGACTGGGGATCCTGTATTTCAGGCCCCCCGGGCAGACAGACCACACAGGCGTGGACAGTTGGTCTCCATGTTCTCTTTCTACCCATAGGAGCCGAGGATGCCTTGGGAACCAGCCTGAGAGCCCACCGGGCCCACGCCACCAAGCATGCGCCCGAGAAGCGGCCTGTGCCCATTCGGAGGAAAAGGAGCATCGGTGGGTTCAGGAGCTGCGCGGGTGGGAGGAGCTGGCCATGAGACAAAGGCTGGGCTTGCTCCTCCAGCTCTGGCCTCCTGCCCTCTCTGAGGCCGCCCTCCTCCACCTCCATGCGGTGTCTCCTGCCCGCCTTGTGCTGCAGTCATAGTCCCGGCCAAGAGTTTCCAGGAGAGGAGAGCCATCATAAATTCTTTAAGTGCCCTGTCTTGTTGGGGCCTGTCTATGTGGAGGCCTTGCTGGAAAACGTGGCTGAGCTTAATTTCCAGTTCCTAGTGTGAAGCACCAGGGCCCTGGGCCTCTAGCCACAAGACGGGTGCAGCCGGGTATGCCAGGCCTGGGGCCTCTGGAGACACCTTCCCTAGGGCCCTGCCCCACTCATCTCTGTCTCTGGGGCTCCAGGCAGGCCTCCTTTGGGGAATAGCTGGCCTGTGCTCTCGGGGTTGGGGGTGACCCACTCAGTCCCATTCTATCTGAGGGTGCCGCCGCTTATTGTAGGGCTGCTCATTGCTGTGTGACTCTGGGGCAAGTGGATCCCCTCTGTCTTTCACCTTTGGGTGTGTTATGTAGGTGATTTCTAGGTACCCTGAGCAGGGGACATTGCTGGTGCCAGCATGCATTTTATACCCTTCAGATCAGACTCTAGCCAGGTCCCTCCATCCAGTGCTCAGGATTCCTAGTCCAGGTTGGGGGTGGGTGGAAGGCCTCCCTGGAGGGTCCTGGGCTGGGGGGCTTACTGTGGGCAGTGTGGGGTGACTCCTCCTAAATGCCCAGATCAGCATGTGCAGCCCAGGGCCTGGGGGCTTCCCTGGAGGACTCTCATGCCTACTCCTCCTACCTGCTATGTCAAGAGGCCCTCAGGGTCTCCTCCCCCTGTGGACAGGAAGCAGGTGGAGGAACTGACTGCCTCCCCTGGCCCTGTGTTAGAGCCTTCAGTTAGTTCAGTTCAGGCATATCTGTTTCCTGAGGGAGCCTGCAGAAGATGGGGCTGCTTGCCCTGGAGTGTGGGGACTGTAGGGTGTGCACACAGGTCACGCACCCTACGAGTGCCAGCCTCCCCCTGGCTGGCTTGCTGGGCTGGGCCTCTTGCCCCTGGCTGCTTCCAGCTTCCTTAACTTTTAACCTGGGGTCCAGATGGGCCCACCATGTTGCTGGGGGCAGAGGGAGCAGGCTGTGGGTGGCTCCGGAGCCTGTCCAGGCCCCTTGGCTCCTGGCTGGGTTCCCTAGGCATGTTGAGGGGACAGAGCCTCCCACTGGCAGGCCTGGGGCTGGCTCATGACCTAGTGACTAGGCCTGGTGGCTGATGTGGCCTAGTAAGGGTTATCTGGGGAGGAAGATATGTCCCCAGAGTCCTGTGAGGAACTCACACCTGGTAGACAGATGAGGTCCTTAGGGCTGTGGTGGCTGTACTGAGGATAGCAGGGCAACAAGTGGCTACAGCCTTCTCCTTGGGGGCATCGGGGTGGCCTCTTGGTGACCTTTGTGAGTTAGGCCCTAGGTGGTATGGGGCTTGCTGCTGGGCCTGATCCCCTGCCCTCCTCCTCCTTGGCTGCTGTGTGTGAGGTAGGCCCAGTGTGGCCAGGGGCTGCCCAGGGCTTCCTTTGGGGGTGTTTGCCAGTAGCCCTGTCTTCTTCGTTGGCTCCCGAGTGGCTGCTGGGGACCCAGTGTGCCAGCTCCCATGAGAGGCATCAGGGATGTGGGGTCAGGAAGGGCATGCACACTTAGCTGTGCTGTGCTAACAGAAATGGAAGCGACCCCTGTGTCACCATGCGTTTGCCTCTGCAGAGGAAGCCATTCCTGCAGTCTGCAAGACCAGGACGGTCATTTACGAGATACCTCGGAGCCAGGTGGACCCCACCTCTGCCAACTTCCTGATCTGGCCGCCGTGCGTGGAGGTGAAGCGCTGCACCGGCTGCTGCAACACGAGCAGTGTCAAGTGCCAGCCCTCGCGGGTCCACCACCGGAGCGTCAAGGTGAGCCACCGCAGCACAGGGTCTGCTGGATGCTCTTTTTCCTTTACTGGGGATTGTTGAACCCAGAGGGGCTTTACCTCTGAGCCACATCCCCGGCCCTTTTTATTTCTGAGACAGAGGTCTCACTAAGTTGCTTAGGGCCTTGCTAAGTTGCTGAGGCTGGCTTTGAACTTGTGATCTTCCTGCCTCAGCCTCCCCAGCCTCTGGATTTACAGGTGTGCACCAACATCCTCGGCTGCTAGGTGCTCTTATGTGGTGGAGGATAAGGAGCAGCATAGGTAAGGCCAGGTGGAAGGGGATTAAGGCCTAGTTACCTGGTTGGCATTGTTGCCACCAGCCTGTGGTCACTAAGGACCAGCACACAGCTGGCTACAAAGCTGTCTCCTAGGCAGGGCCCAAGATATGGTGGCCCCTGAGTCAGCCCTGGGGAAATCAGCATGGTCATGGTTTCTCTTTCACCCTCGAAGTCCTGGGGCAGATTTTGCTGCTTTAGGTCCCTCTGGGCAGCTGGATTGGCGCTGGTAGCTTTCAGCCTGAATTATGGATGTGGGCACTGGGTCTGGTCGCACATGTCCATCTGAATGGCCTCCCTGTTGAGTGGAGATTTCCTGTGCCATGGTCTGGGCATGGCCTTCAGAAGGACTTTGGAAAGCAGGTGTTTTGGGTGTCTCTGGGCTCCTAGGAGGCTGGCTGAGGCTGGAGTCCTTGGGATTCCCATCTGGGGGCTGGATACTCCTAGGGCTCTGCAACCTAGAGTTTGGCTCCACTTGGTTGAGATACCATTATGTCCTGTATGACTGACTCTCAGGACAAGCAAATCCAAGCCGGGGGTGTGGCAGGCCTGCCAGCAGAGCAGGCCACTTTGGCTTAGCCAGGAAGTATGGTTGAAGTTTCATTTCTGGGGCAAGGTTGGAATCCACTCCTGACTCTAGGAAAAAACCATTTTAGATTCCACCATGTGCATGTCCTTGGAGGGAATGCTGGGAAATGGTTAATGGTTTGCTTAAAGGACCCCTTGCCAGGTCTTAGACGCAGGGTGGGATACCTTAGACTTTTGGCTGAGACTTGACTTTTTTTAAGAGAGAAAGAGAGAGAGAATTTTTTTTTAATATTTATTTTTTTTTAGTTTTCGGCGAACACACATCTTTGTTTGTATGTGGTGCTGAGGATCGAACCCGGGTCACACGCATGCCAGGCGAGCGCGCTACCGCTTGAGCCACATCCCCAGGCCTTAGAGACAGGGTTTTGCTGAGTTGCTTAGGGCCTTGTTAAGTTGCTGAGGCTGCTTTGAACTTGCAATCCTCCTGCCTCAGCCTCCCGAGCTGCTGGGATTCCAGGTGTGCATCACTGGGCCGGCTAGCTAAGACTTATCTTGATCTCCAGGACTTGGTCCTCACAGAGCCCTGGAAGTTGAGTGAGCAAATTCCAGACTGGCACTCCCCTTCAAGGGCCCAAGGGTTTCCCTGGGCTCAGGGCTTGTCTGGGGAACTCTCCTGTCTGTAGGTCAGACACTGGAGGCTGACTCACTTCTCCAGGCTTCAGTGGCCAGGGATCTCTCCCTTAGCGTGAGCCCAGGCCATCTCTCCTTGTGTGACCCTGGCCCTTTCCTTGGGCCTCAGGGTTCTTATCAGTGGTATGTTGGTGGTGGCAGGATGGCAGCGGGGGTGGGGGGTGGGGTCACATAGTCTTGAGAGGCTGGGATACCTGTTGTCTCCTGGGCACAGGCATAGGTCAGATCCAGGTGAGATGTCTTATGTGGGCACTGGGCACTGAGGGGCTGGGCTGTTCCTATGGCCTCCAGCTTCTGGGACTTCCCACATTCCCACCTTTGTTTCTTTGGGGGTGAGGACAAAGAGTGTCCCTTCCCAGCACGGTAGTGGTGCCTCCCTCCCTGGTCTCTAGTGAGCCAGGTAGGTTCGAGGTCTTTTGGCCTGGCGCCCTCAGAGATGCCCTCCCTGGGAAAGGCCCCTTCTGTGCACTATGTAGGGGTCATGCTTTTTGGCCCTGTGGGTCTTGTCTGCCCAGTAAGGTGGCCAGCCTGAGGGGATAGAGTCTTGCCGCCGGAGCCTGGTCCTCCCTCCTGGGAAAGTTCTCCCCCTGCTCACCCATAAGTCTTCAGGGGAACATCTGGCCCCGGACACTGGGGGCTGTTGTAGAGGCAGGGAGGTCAGCAGGAACTGGAGGCCCATTGTGGAAGCCAAGCAGGAGGCCTGTCCTGACCTGGACAGAGGCACATGGGCCTGGAACATGGACTTATTTGGAGCCAAGCACTTGTATGTGGGCAAGGGGCCAACTGGGTTCAGGGGGAGCTGGGGAGGCCTATGGCAACCCTGTCCACCTGGAACTCCAGTCTTTATGGTCTTTGGAAGAACATTTTCAAGTCCCTTGTCATGTAGATGGCAGAAAGTCTGGGAAGGGCACCCGGGCTGGTGAATCAGGCTCTGGGAGTCTGGTGGTGTGGCTGGGGTGGATGGCCAGTCTCCTGTGACTTCTAGGAGGAAGCTCAAGGACCTAGGTGTGTTGGCCACTGCCCCAGTTCAGCGTGGCACCTGGGATGGGATTTCCTATCTCTTGTGGGGACGTGTAGAGAGGAGGCCTCTCTGTGGGCCTAGCACCTGCAAGGATTGCTAGGCCATCATTGGCCATCAGCCCTGGGGAGAGGCCACCAGGGGTCCTAGCCATGCTTCTCTGACCTGCTTCACGTTGTCAGCATCTCCTCCAGACCTCTATCATAGGGGTTGGGCGAAGGGAGCAAAAGTGGGTGTCGGTGCTACTGGACATGCCTGGCCTAAGAGCTATCCCAGTGGTTTAGCCTGGACAGAGCTGAGGCCCAAAGTCCCAATCCAGAATGAGTAGCTTGTGATGGTTTTTACCTAGCAGTGGGGACCAGCTCTGAGCTGCCATCTACTCTGGCCCTGCCAGAAATGGAGGCTGCTCTTGCTGCCCAGGAAAGCTTTGGGTTGGTGCCTTTTAAGGCAGCCTCAAGAGCAGGGGCTGGGGCATCGGTTCATTGATTCAGTTGGCTCATCTCCACAGCAGCACTGGGCTGGGCTGTGGCTCTGCTGGGCAGGACCTCAGGCTTCTGGAAGAGTCTTCTCACCAGGCACCAAGGATGGGCCTCCCTCCCTGGTGGAGGCCAGAATGGTGTTCTGGGGGAGTTGCCAGTGGGTCCCTCAGTCATTGTTGGGGTCCTCTGCAGGGTCTGGGGGAGGGGGGTGGTAGTAGTAGCCTTGGTCTCTGGTGAAGGGGTCTCAGCATCTTTCCCTGTGTGGGAGAGGCAGGGGCACTAGAAGGCTGGGTGTCAGCATGGTGGATAGTGGTGCCTGTCAGGCTGTGAGCCCCAAAGTCTGGAGTCACTGCATTTGAGATGCTGGGTTGGGCCTTAGGAGCAGGCCCAGCAGGGCTCCTGTTCATACCGGTTTGAAGTCTGGTGTTGGCCTCCCTCCTGGGTTGGGGGAGGACACCTGCGGGTCCTGTAGACCCATGGCTCACTCCTGCAGGGCTTCAGTGGGGGTTTGGCTAAGCAGGGGTCTCCTGGATTCGGAGAGATCTCCATCTCTAGAAAACAGAAGGGCCTGGGATTTGAAGCCTGGGGACCCTGAGTGGGGCTGCCTGCTTGTCTATACCATTTCCTCCTGTAAAATGGGCCACACGGTGCTCATGCCTGCTGTAAGGGTCACATGGCTGGGCTCAATAAATGGGAGTTTGTATCTGCTCTGTCCCGAAGCTCTAGAATGGTCAGGACCATCCCTCAGGGGAGGTCTCTGAAGGGTGACAGTGACCGGAGGATTTTGGTGGCTTTACTAGAGTGGATATAAGTGGATGTCTTTGAAAGAATGGGAATTAGGATGTTGGGTGTGAGAAAGTGCAGCCCATTTGTCTCAGAAAGAGGAGGAAGGGAGGGAGGGAGGGACCGAGTGCTGAGGGCACAATGACCCAAACTGGGAACTGGGTGGGGCCTTGGAGCCTGAATAGGGATCCCCAGAACGTTGTAGTCTCTATTTTCAGAATTGGCTTTCGTGAAGAAGGCTTTTGAGAATTTAATATTCGTAACGTGTTCTTGGGAGAAAAATGTAGCCATTTCCTGGCCAGACAGAGGTGGTGGAGCAGCCAGAACTCTTGCAGACCCAGGAGCAGGTGCAATCATAAATCGCTGTCTGTTTTTCTCTGATAAACATGGGGCTGTCTGGAGAGAAAGCGTACCCCCAGACTGGAGCGGCCCCATCTGTGTCCCTCTGGGACCACAAGGGTGGCATTGCTGAGACCCCACCCTGCTCACGGCACCCACCTGTCTCTGGAGAAGAGCAAGCCTGCTACCAGCTTGGGGGTTGGGGGTTGGCCTGGTGGGTGGTCTTGGCCTAGCCCAGGCCCTAGTGTCTGCCCTGCTGGGGCATCTACTGTTGATCAAAAAGGTTGTGCCACCCGGAGGGCTGAGGCCAAGAGCAAGACAAGTGCCTTGCCTGAGCCTGACCCCAGGGCTCTAATAGCCCTGCCCTGTTCCTCTCGTCTACTGCAGAGGCCAGGGGTGTCTGGGAGCAGAGCATCCACCCAGACAGATCCTCCTAGGAGGGTGAAGGCTACTGGGCTCAGTTTTGTGCATATATTACGCAAAAGCCAATTCACGAAAGCCGATTGTGAAAATAGAGACTACAACATTTTGGGGAGCCCCACTCAGGCCCTGAGCCCCCACCCAGTCCCCAGGCAATTAGCATGGAGACAGACTTGGAATCTGATTCCTGGACAGTGGGGGTATGGCTGGGTGCAGGGTGAATGAACCTCTGCTGTTCTAGAGTCTTGCTGAGGAGGGGAAGTGTCCCATCCTCAAAGGGAAGGTCTCTGAGACACTGCTCTGCTGGCTGGGGGCCACAGCTGCTGTGTGGAGCTTGAGGACTGGAGAGGGGGCCTTGCTGGAGCCCCTGGGGGTCTCCAGGCCTGGCCTCTCTGAGCAGAGCCTGGGCTGGTTTTGGAGGGGGGGCCTCACGTTGAGACATTGTACGTGTGGCACTGGCTCTGTCCCAGTCCTGGGCACCTTATCCCTCCCCAGCTCCCTGGTGGGTGTGCTTGATGTCCCCATTTCACAGGAGAGGCCAACGTGTCTGAGGGCACAGCACAGCTAATAGGCTCCTCCTCCTGGGCCATGAACCTGGGGAAAGAGGGCAGGAGTAGGTTGGCCGAGGCTGCTGCACGCAGGTACCTGGTGGAACACCCTGGCAGGGAAGCCCGGGCACGGCCTACGCGCCTTCCTCCCGGCCAGCATCTCTCCCACCTCCTGACGTAGCGAAACCTTCAGGGCTGACCCCTGGCTCCCAGCCACGCCCTGCAGTCTGAGCTCATACCTGGCAGCCTGTGTTCACACCTGAGAGCCCACGCCAGTCCATACGCCCGCCAGGCACCCGGCACCCTTTGCACTCCAGGTTAATCATTAGCTCAGCCGAGGTGGCAGCCACGGCAGGGTTCAGCAGAGCCTGGTCCCCAGCACCTCAGGGTTGGCTTTACCTGCCTGTACTCCAGGTGGCAGGCAGGACAGCCCAGTGGTTAGGGTCAGATTGCCACTCTTGCTTTTAGGACCATCTTGGCTTCCACAAACCTCAGTTTCCTTTTCTGGCCATGGAGATGATACTCCTGTCTCCTTGGAGGGTCTGAGGGCTAAATGAGTGTTGGTCTTTGCACTTGACCAAGGAGAGATCGGCTTCTCTGGGCAGACAGCTCCTCATCTGTCCTGGGGTGAAAGGAGCTGCTGGGGGGACTTGCTTCCCATAATGGGGGTGTGCATTATGGACGTGTGTGCATGGCCGTGAACTTGCTTCTCATGTTGGGCACGTGTGTGTGTTATACAGGTGCACATGAAAGTAGAGCTGTATTCCTGTGATCCGGTGTGTGTGGTCTAGGGTGCAGCGCCTGTCCCGCAGGGCTAGGGATTGGCTTCTGGTCCCCCATTTTTGAAAACTCAGAGGTTGGGCCTGGGGCCCTCTGCTTTTTCCTGCAGCTACTCGGGGGGGGGGGTGGAGTGGGCTGTGGGGCAGGTCCACCTTCTTGTTCTGTGCCCAGGGAGCTGGGGGCTGGATGTGGAGGTGCTCCTGCTGAGGTCAGAATGGCCTCTAAGCAATCTGCATTTGAAATCGTGGCCTTGTACCCACTCCTCCTGGATCCACCTCGAGTGGCCACTGTGGCAGCCCGGGGTCTCTGCCCCATGTTTTTGAGACGGGCAGGACAGGCCTTTTCTGAGCCCAAGGAGAGCCTCAGGCCTGGTATGGAGTTGGTCAGTGGCTGTGGGTCTCCATAGTGGCTGGGACCACGTAGGGTCGGTCATCTTCTGGCCCCTGGAGTCCAGTTAAAACTTCTTAGAGGGCTATAGGCAGGTGGGGCCAGAAACTCCCCTACAGCAGGTCCAGCACCAGTCCAGCTCAGCGGCAGGGCTCTGTCTCCAGCCAGGGCTTCTTTCTCCGCACTAGTCATAAAACACACATTTGGAAACATTCCTGGGGCAGGTAAACATGGAAGCAGATGCCTTCCCTGCCTACCTGAGCCATGTGCAGCCCTCAGACCTCCCAGGCATACGGGAACCTTTGGGTTAATTTAAACAAATGGGACCAAGTTTGTTTGCACCTGGCACCCCTGCCCTCCCAACTCAAGGGAGGATCCCCGGGAGGGGAGGTTGGAGGTTGGAGGTCAAGTTTGGGCTGTTCCCTGTCTTCAGCCTGAGGAGGGCCAAGCCCCCAGGTGTCAGTGGCTCTGCTGTCTTGGCAGGTGGCCAAGGTGGAATACGTCAGGAAGAAGCCGCGGTTGAAAGAGGTCCAGGTGAGGCTGGAGGAGCACTTGGAGTGTGCGTGCGCACCCTCCAGCCTGAGTCCAGACCACCGGGAAGAGGAGACCGGTAAGTGGCAGCTGCTCTCTGGGGAGCACAGGATGAGCCCCAGGGCTAGCTGGAGAGGAGGGTTCAGCCCGAGTGAGGCTGGTGGGGTCTTTCCCTGGGTTCTCGGGGTGCTGGGCATGGGCAGGTGAGGCATGGCTGCCAAGCCCTTGTTTGGGTGGGCAGGAGGAACTGATGAGAAGAGGGGGCACTGGATATGGTGGTGGCCTTGTGATGGGGTCCTGGCCTCCACCCTGCAGGGCAGTGTGCCCAGTAGCATTGAGGTGCTGTGACCTGCTCTTGGGCCAGCCCCAGGTGCAAAGGAGGGGACATGGAAGTGTCTCTATGCCAGGGCGGATCGAGCTTCTTTCAGAAAGATAAACACCTCAGGTATTTATTGCTGCAGCTTTGCTGGACAGCCTCCCGAGGCCGCTCACGGTCCCTGCCCTTTCATTAACAGGAAGGCGTAGGGAGTCAGGTAAAAAACGGAAAAGAAAAAGGTTAAAACCCACCTAGAGCGCCAGCCAGGTAGGCCCCGCCAGCGGGCGCTGGGATGCTGCAGGGATGGGAGGCCAATCCACAGATCACTGCAGCGAATCAGCTTCCCTGGGGCGGGTGCGAGGCCTTGGGCTGTGTGCTTGGGTGTCTGCTGGGTGCGGGCTCCTCGCAGCTCTCCCCCTCCTTGGCTTTGCTCTGCTCTTCCTGATTGGGCTGCAGAGCATCACACACGAGTGGAAAGGTTTGGGGTGCTGGAGCAGTGTGGTGGGACCACCTCCTGCCCCCTCCATTGGCAGCTGGGGAAACTGAGGCCTAACTGGTTCCAGCTCTGGGTTGTCGAAGGCTCAGTGGGTCTGGAAGTGCTTTATAAATGTACAGGGATGTTGGCTCTTGGGCATCAGCAACATCAGAGATGGAGCGAGGGTGGAAGTTTCTGATGCTCAGGTAGAGATGGGAAGAGCCAGGCGGGTGCGGCTGTCCCAGGTGTCAGAGCTGCCTCATGGGCCAAAGTGACTGCTCAAGCTCCAAAAGTCATACTAATACTCTAGGCTGGGAGAGAAAAGGCAGGTGGGGGAGAGAAAGAAGGGCCAAGGTAGCAGCCCCTCTGAAGAGTCTCCCAGAAACCCCACCGGGGCTGTTGCCTCCCAGAGGAAGAGGGCGGCTCTGGGCCTTCCCAACCTTGGTTGGCCTGTCTGGCTCAGGAGCCTGGAGCCCGGCTGGCTTGGCCCTTCCTCCTGGCACGTGGGCCTCTCTGGCATCCAAGACAAATAGTTGTTGTAGACTGAGAGGAGATTCCTCAGAGATAGTGTGTCTGGGAGCCCTGGCTCCTGTTGGGCCATGTGGCTGGGGAAGTCGGCCGGTCCAAGGGGCTTTGGAGGCCTGTGGGTTGGGCCATTTGTGAGGACCCTGTGGGAGGAAAGCACCCACTTGGCATCCCTGAAGCAGCCCAGCAATGCTCAGCCAGGGCCTCCACAGCCCAGGGTGTGGCAAAGGGGTGGTTCCCTGCCTGTCCCCGGGGTTTATTCCCCTTCAGTGAAAGGGAGCACTCAGGCTCCAGCCACAGGGGGACCACATGCTGGAATGTAGGATGCAGAAGTGAGGTTGGTTGGGGCTTGGGGTGTGGCTGAGATAGAGCGCCTGCTTAGCATACATAAGGCCCTGGTTCCATTGCCAGCATTGGAAGTAATAACAACAACAACAAAAGAGCCCAATGTAGATCAGTCTGGCTCAAGGGATCTCTCTGTCTGGGGCTGGTGACATCCACCCTCAGCTAGTTGCATGGCCCAAAATCGCTGCCAGAGCTCCAGAAGTCATGTCCAGGACCTATGCTGGAAAGAAAGGAAGGCAGGGGGGAGGTCCAAAGAACCCATCCGGGCCTCAGTTTCCCTACCTGTACAATGGGAGCGTGGAGTTTGCTCTCAAAAACACGTTCTTCTGTGAGATGCTATGAGCCTAGTCCAATTCTTTCAGGATATGGCCACCATGGTTAAGATGGCCAATTTGATTCTTCAGATTGCACTGGCAAGTTTAAATCCTCAGACTTAACACCGAGGGTGCCCTTGATTGGGTTCAACTGCTTCAGTGATATGTGCCTGGTGGCCCAACCTCTGAGCCTCTGTCTCCCCTCTTCCTTGCAGATGTGAGGTGAGGATCAACAGCAGCCCTCTCCTGGGACACGGATGTACATGGCGTGTTACATTCCTGAACCTACTATGTACGGTGCTTTATTGCCGGCGTGCGGTCTTTGTTCTCCTCCGTGAAAAACTGTGTCCAAGAGCACTCTGGAGAACAAAGAGACAGTGTACATTTGTTCAGTGTGACAGCAAAGCAAGTATTGTAGCACTCGGAGAAACTGTAAGCTTCCTTGTCAGAGAGAGAGAGAGAGAGAGACAGAGAGAGAGAGAAAAAAAACAAACCACAAAACACGACAAAAAACAAAAACAAAACAAAAACAAAAAACGGGACTCCAAAACATCTAAGCCTTCGGCGGAAGGGCCGCCCCGCGCGGGGTGAAGTGCAGTGGGCTCGCGGTGAAGCGCAGTGGGCTCGCGGGTGGATCTGTGTGGGCCGCGGTGCTTTTGCTGAGTCGGAGCCTGGTGTGGAGAAGCCAGGCTTGGATCACCACGTGGACACCCCCTCGCTGCAGCACTCCAGTCTGTGGGACCCTCCTGGGAGCCTTAATGGGTTTTTTTTTTACACCGTAAAGTTACGGAGCTTTCCTTTTTACTCTTTGCCTAGCTTTCCCACCCCTCCCCCCCAACCTTTTTTTAATTATCTCTTGGATGACATTTACGCCGATAACACACGAGGCTGCTGTAACTGTCAGGACAGAGCGACGGTATTTTTCCTAGCAAGATGCAAACTAATGAGATGTATTAAAATAAACGCGGTATACCCACCTATGCATCATTCCTACATGCTTCTGACTTTCCTGTGTCCCACCGCCCCACATACTCCCTATTTTTTTTTTCTGATTTAAGCCATTTCGAGAGGACTCCACGCAAGCCATCGAGCAGAGTGGCTTCCCGATGATGCAGGCTCCCCACCTGCAGGGGCATCGGGGCAGAACCTAGATTCTTTATTTTTGGTAAAATGTTGTGCTTTGCTTGTATTAACAGAAATGTGTGTGTGTGTGTGTGTGGTTTCTTTGTCCTTTTCATTTTGATTTGTAAAGGTGAAGTTTGTATTTTTAATATTATCGGTTTTGTCTACCTGCAAACCTGCTGTTCTTTTTTTTTTTTTTTTGAACCAAAAGAAAAAAAAAAAAGCCATCAAGACGGATGCCCGTGGGGGAAGCATTTTTGTGGTCATGTTTCTGGTGTCTTCTGGAGTCTTGTTCCTGTGACCTGTTGCATGGGCAGTTGTTGGGTGAAAATGGGGACTGGAACCATCTGGCTGGAGTCCCTGGACCTGGCTGTACATGGGCTTCTAGAAGGCTGCTGCCGTTGGACTCCAGAGCGGACAAGGATGGACCAGAGAGTGCTGTCCTGCTGTGGGGACGAGTGTCAGATGGCGAGCCCGGCTGTGACCGCCTGCCTTGATGCAGTCTGCCTGAAACCTGGACGGCCACTTCCTTCCCGGTGCCTCTAGCTCTCAGCCCCTGTTGCCTGTGGGATTGTCTCTAGGATGGAGGCCTGTGTCCGGCTCCACAGTGCTAGGGCTTATTAAGTGTCTCCTTAAAGTTACCAAAGCAAGGCTGGAGGGCATGTGCTGGAGGCCAGGCCAGGAGTGTCCCCACCTCCTCTCTGTGGATGGACAGATGCTGTACCAGGGGCTAAAGTCCTGCCCCGCCCCCTCTGCCATCTCAATACTGTACCTGAAGTGTACCTCTGATGCATCCGATGTGTAAGCCTGTCATTTGTGTTTTTGTGAGATGCTGATGTGCTGCTTAGTATGTGCAAGGCCATCCGGTGAGATACCGTGTCCATTAAAACTAGAGCAGTCCTGGGCCACTGCAGAGGAGTGGCACTTGTGGGAGCTGGCCTGTGGGTTTCTTTACCGCTCCCCAGGTGGAGGGTCCTGGTGGAGCCCAGCTGGCCCCTCCTGGTCTGCTGGGGAGTGCTGGCCTGGCAGGCGGGTGGAGGTGGGGCTCTAGGCCAGGGAGGCTGTGGTCTGTGGCTGGATTGTTCCGAGCCTCCGCCCTCTCCTGCAGCCTTTGTTGCAGGTCTGTCCTGAATTCCTGGCATTTCTCCTCCTGCCTGCAACCCCTCTGGCCTGGCCTCGGGCTGCACCTGGGTGTGAGCCCCAGAAGACAGCTTCTGCTCAGGGCCCTCTTCTGTCTTGGGAGCTTTAACCTTGAGCCAGGGCCTCCACCTGCACCTCTGCTCAGCGTAGTAAGGACACTGCCTGTCATGTGCCTGGGACTTCCTGGGGTAGGGTGTATGTGTGGTGGGGTGGACTTTGGCATCTCCCACCACCTGGTGCTGTGACCTTGGGAGCAGGCCGCACCAACCCCTGGTGTTTCTGGGCCTGAGCAGTGGTTGGAAACAGGTCCCTGTTCTGGCCTTGCTCACAGCTTGTTCTTGCCAAGGCCTGCCAATCTTGCAGCTTTTGCTGGGCTCCTTCTCTAGGTCTAGGTGCCCCTTCATCCGGGCATCCTGGTCTGTGAGCTGGTTGGACAAGGCTGGCTCCAACCAGCCAGCCCCACTGTCCCGGCTGCCTGGGACTGTCCCAGCTGCGGCCAGGCTCCAGAGTCAGGAGCAGCTGGACCTCTGCCTGAGTCTGCAGAGAAGTGCCCTTGGCATGGACACTGCAGGTGACCTGTGACCCCTCTGTACTCAGCTTTGGTTTTTTCCAGAGAGTCTAGGGATGGGAACTTGAGCCTACTAGAAAGTTGCTCCTTTTCAAGATGGAGCTGTGCCCTTTGAGATGCTGTGACTTCCTTGGAGGGACCCTGAATGGACTGTCCCAGGGATATGGTTGGGGGGTGGGGGGTGGGCAGGCAGTGGAGGAATTCTGTGGAGGCCAGGTGTGTCTAGGAACCTCACTCTCTCTGGGCCTCGGACTCCCTGCTGCTGTGGGTGCGGGCCTTGGCAGCCTCCCCCCCACCCCTGCCCCTGCCTGGTGCTGGCTGACTGTCCTGACGGCATCGTGGACAGCCATCATGGACAGCCAATGGCAGCCAAGCCCAGGAACAAGCGCTCTTTGCTTTTCACTTACAACCACTTGCTCCAGTTTCAAAGAGTGTCTGGATCCTCCCATGAGATGGAACAAGAATTGCTACAGCAGGGACACCCCCCAACCCCCACCCAGAGCATACTACTAAGGTCACAGGAAGAAGCTGGATTTGAGCTCAAGCCTCAGTCACTGCTCACATGTTCCCCTGATGGGGGCGTCCTGGACTGCTGCTAGCACCCTGTGTCACAGCTGAGAAACTGAGGCATGCAGAGGCTTTGGGACTGTCCCAATCTCTAACCTAGGAACCCTGATGTCCGATGCCTCTAGCCTGGACTGGTGGCCCTTCCTGCACCTCCCTGACCTGCTGGAAATTGGCTGAGGCCAGGGTGCAGCATCCTAGGCTCAGGGGTGCAGTCCGAGAGTGGAGGGCCTTCAGCATCCTCCCCAGTAAGGTAAGGTGAGGGGACGGAGAGGCTTAGGGCCCAGGCAGCCTCCCAAGAATGCTCAGGGGGGACTGTCACCTTAAGGCCTGTTCTGCTTCAAGCAGGGTGCAGTGGGTGTTGGGGTGTGGGGCATGGCCTCAGTCCTGGGAATGATGACAAAATAATAGGTCCCCAGTTCCCAGGCTGAGCCCCGAGAGCTGGGTGCTCCACTGTAGTCGTGTGGCCTGGCCTGTGTTCCAGACGGCTGTGACAGACGGGTCGGCGTTAAGCTGTGCTTTGGATTAAAAGTACTTTAGTGACAATGCTTGATATTTCATTTTTGGCTCTGATAGAAAGTTTAAAATAGTTTGATTTAATTTTTTTTAAAAGAATGTTGGTTTAAATTAAAAATTCACTTGCGCAGAGTGGAGGCAGCTTGCACGTTGTGGGTTTGACATGTGGCTTCCTGTGACTGAGGACCTGTTTTATGGGGGGTTGGCTGCTGGGAGGGGGGCCTCTTACCTGGGGCAGGCTCCTCCCATGCTGTCCAGCACTGAGGGCACCCTAGACGGCCTTCCCTGTACTGACTGCTGTGTGGGTGGTTGGTAGGCCTCTGTGTGGTGCCCAGGTGCGTATGCAGCGGGTGCCCATCAGCCTGCCTTGACTGCTCGAGCCTTAGTTTCCTCATCTGTAAACCAGAATGATGGTGACTGGGCGGGGTTGATGAGCCTGTGGGAAACTCCCAAGAGGCACCCCAGGGAAAGGTGTAGATGTACCCCATCAGACCCTCAGTCTACCTGGCAGCTCTGACCCATGCTGCCCCTGTGCCTGGTTCCTGGCCCAACCACTCAAGGCTCAGGTCTCCATAGGAAGGAGGCCATGAGAAGGGCCCTGTGGGATATCGGGGCCTCTGTGCAGGATTCTGCTCTGGGGCAGGTGGACCTCCACTGGCCCCAACCTTTGACTTTATCCCCTCTGGTGCTCCACGGTCCTATGATTCTCACCGAAGATGACCCCAGGCTGCGGTCTCCATCCCGTGTGCTCACGGTGCTAGCCTTTGGGTCCAGCCTGAGGACAATGAAGCTCCCCGCTGGCTGCCCCACCTCAGGGACTGGCCCAACACCTTCCATGTGCATATATCTGGGGACCAGCTTACCCTACCCTGCCTGCCCCACCTTCCTCGTTCTCCAGTTGACAGTGGCAGTGAATGGCAAGCTAGTCAGACTGGCAGAAGCAGAAGGGAGGGTCGGGCAGGACTTCCTCAGGCCCCCGGCTTCTTGCCACACATCACAGGCCAGGCTTATTGTCCTCCGTCTCCAGAGGCAGCTGGACGCGTGGCCCTGGAGCCCTGGAATTTGTTCCACCCACGCGAGTCCCTGGTTCTCACCATGCAGGTGGGCTCTCCTGCTGGCTCAGGTGGACCCTGAGTGGGGTCCTGTGTCCATTCTGCTACAGGGTGGGGTTGTACTGGGAGCTGTAGACAGGAGGTGCCCTGTTCAAAGATGGGGCTGCAAAGTGGGCATCTGGGGTGCTTTGGCCCCCAAACCCCCAAATGGTGCCTGAAAGACTGGCAGAGCTCCTGGGAGAGAGGTCCCAGGAACAGGGAGAATGAGTCAGGCTCCTCCCTGCGGGGTCCCTGAGGACCTTGGGAAATACCCCAGAACTGTCAGCTCAGTGGCAGAAAGATGCCTTTCTATAGAGCCTGTTCGCACAGGCCAGGGGCCAGCAGCTAGACCCAGCTGTGCATGTGCACACTCAGAGACTGTCTGGGTCCTGGGGCAGCAGAGACAGACAGCCATGGGGGACCCTGCAGGGTACCCCTGACCTCATGGGTACTGGGAAGGTGCAGTGGAGCCCAGAGCTATGTGGAGGGTGGCTAGCGTGCCACCTGGATGTCTGTGCCCACTGGCTGGTCAGGTCTTGCGTGAGCTCCACATCCCATCCCACAGGCAGAACCCTCCTGCACTCCTGCCCTCTCAGAACCTCTTACAATGAAGCTGAGCATGTAGAGTGGCCCTGGCCTCCCTGCTGGCTCCTGCCTGCTTAGGCCCCATCCATATGGGCCGTCCACAGTGGCTTGGGGATGGGTCTGAGGGAGCCCACAGCAGGCCCTAGTGGAAGGAGCAGGGCTCAGGGGCAGGCACACCACCATCCAGGCCCTTTGGACCAGTCTGTAGCCACAAATGACAATTCTTTGGGAGCTGTCCCCAGTCCCTGTGTACCCTGTGACATTGCTATGGAGTGAGCTGGACTTTCAGGGTCTCTAGTAGGCCTGGCCAGGAGTGCAGACCAGCAGTGCCCTTCTCAGAGGTCTGAGTTTGGGTCAAGGAGGCAGAATGCCTGGGGAACATGGGTGACTTCTGAGAGTGA